CATGCCAGGAACAGCTGACCATGAGAAAATCAGGAACATGCCAAATTTAGTCGGCATATACGAAGGGTGTGTCCTTCTTTTTTAATAATTTCATACCCAATATTAATCGTGCAGGAAACTGCAATCTCTTGAAGTTGAGTGGCATTTCTCTGGCAATTAAAGAATTCGAGGTAGCAACATACTTCCACGTAATAATCGCATTCTCATTTAATTTGTTTTGAATTTTTTTATTGTTAGCTTAATGCCATTGCAAAGGCTTCGTGGGTCAATGCTTCTTAATAAAATCATACCCAATCTGATCCGATTTCAATATAATTTGACACAATTTTTTTGAAATTGGAGGTACATACCGTGTTTGATGCATCAAATATGTGAAATCGAACGAGAATATATATAGGAGCTATATCCAATTTCTAATTAATTTGACAAATTCATTATTGTAACTAAATTCCGTCACACATTCTGAATTTCACTGGAATCGGGCATACATATCGTGTTTGGTGACTCAAATAAACGAAATCGGCCGAAAATATATATGGGAGCTATATCCAAATATGTACCGATTTCAATATAATTTGGCAAATATATGTTCGGTTTAATCTCCGTTACTCATTTCAATAACATTGGAATCGAACAAACATAATGTATTTGGTGCATCAAATAAACGAAATCGGTCGAAAATATTTGTACAGATTTCAATATAATTTGGAAAACGTATATTCGTCTTAAATTCCGTTACACATTCCAAATTTCATTGAAATTAGAGATACATAGCGTGTTTGGTACATTAAATATATGAAATCGACCGAATATGTATATGGGATCTATATCCAAATTTGAACCGATTTCAATATAATTTGGCAAATTTATTTTTGTTCCAAATTCCTTATGCATTCCAAATTTGGTATCTGTAATCTATCAATAGATGTGAGCATATAAATTCAAAATTTTTGGCAGGTACCTCCGATTCTGATGTCAAATCTCCAGTTCCAAGTGGAATTTCAAATAATTATATAGCCTATGTTACTTTCAGGCGATGTTGTACTATACTTGCAAATTTTCAGAAAAATCTGTTCAGCGGTTTTCGAGTCCATATATTACAATCAAACAAACATACAAACATTTTCCTCTTTCATAGATATAGATATTGAATTTAAGCAATGGTTGTTATTAAGAAGTTAAATTTCAAAGATTATTTGTGGATCGCTTTTTTTGTCTCACTTCAAGGTTTTTATACTCTCTTCCATACAATAGAGGAAGGTATAAAATTCCGTTTGTAACTCCTCGAAATACTCATGTCAGACCCAAAAAAATATATATTCTTGATCATCGTAAAATTCTAAGTCGATTTAGCGATGTTCGTCTATTTGTTGTAATCACGCTATCTTTCGAACGAATTGAGATAGAAGGCTAAAATTTTGCACACATGTTTATTTTTCCAGTAGGCAAGTTAAGTTCTCAAATGGGCCATGTAGGTCCACGTTTTCATATAGCCCCCATATAACGGTACCTCCCGATATTCGGTATTTTGATGATTTTAGCGACATTATTCACCGGAATTGTTTCAAATTTGGTAATTGAAATGGATACTACAGCCTAAGACAGAAAATTGTCTGTGCAGGTTCACGTCTTCGTATATCGCCCATATAACGGTAACTTCCTATGTTCTGTATTTTGATGATAGCGTCATTATTCACCGGAATTGTTTTAAATTACGTATTTAGAGTTTGTAATGGGAACTACAGTATCCAGTCCAGGTCTTCGTATAGGTCCCATATATCAGTACCTCCCTATATTCGGTATTTTGACGAGTTTAGGTACAATACCCACCGAAATTGTTTGAGATGTCGTATTTGAACTTCGTAATGGATGCTACAGCCTATGACAGAAAATTGACTTATAAAAAACGGTATTTTTACAATTGTAACAGAATTTTTAAGGATTTTATTTCATAAAAAATGGCGAAACTGAAATCCCCACTGCTGTGGCTGCAAATACCATAGCAGTATGATTATATAATTTTATTTTACGATTTACTAGTTTAAAAATAGCTTACTAGCTATTCTTTGAGAATGTATGTATCAAATTTTATCGAAGCTCAAACCGATGGGCCTGGCAACCTCTACTCAAAAAATCTGCCTTTCAATTTTGATTTTTCAATTGAGGTTATTTGCGAAATGAATAACTTCTTTATCAAACTTTTTTGAATTGGCGTTGTCGTAAACTTACAATATTCCATGCATGCTTTGTGTTTTTACTGCAATTTAATACATTTGTGAAAAAAATTATCTATATTTCAATTAATCTACCTTGCTGGTTGAGATATATTTTTTTTAATGACTCTGTTAGATTCATAAATTTTCAAAGGTAGCCATTGTAATATGCAAATTATTTTTTATTATTATATTATTATTCTTATTGAAATGTAAGTATATAACGGATTTCCCTTCTTGTGTGTTAAAATAAAAAACACATAGGGTAAGTGTGCCTAAGTTCGGCATGTCCCAGTAGTCGGCACTTTTTATTTTTAAGCCCAAATAAATGAAACTATTATATTGAAATGTATTTTGTTTACTTCAGCTATCTTTGTGCACAATTTTGCTAAGAAAAGATGATTTATTCTAATAAAAATTAAAATTTTTGTCTGTGAAGGTCCTCAACAATTCATATTCTTAAGAAAAGTACAATAAAGACGTCGAATCAGTTTAACTAAACAAAAATATTATATTTTAATGAAATAATTTTTTATTATTATTAATTATTCTTACAAAAACATTGGTATGCCGACTGTTGGAACCTGCCATACCGACAATTGGCAAGTGGTGCCGACTACTGGCAAAAAAACATTGTTTTAATAAAACTACAAATTTATGAAATATAAAAAAAGTTTTTACAACTTTATTTATTATTGCAAAAACTATACAAAATTTCGAATCTTAATAAATTAACTTTGTAATAATTGAAATGTTCCACTCAGAATGGTGAGCGGTTAAAAACGCGGAAATCCTAAAAGTGCCGACTACTGGTACACTTACCCTACTGTCTCCTAAAATGTAAGTAAAGGCTCAGACTTTGAAATAGTATTTTTCTAACGTTAGATAATCAGTGCATCAATAAATAAATTTGCTTCTAATTTCGTTTATCGAAAGGTATTCCTTGGTATTAAATAGATATAAATGCGGCTTCAGAAAATATACAAATTCGACCACATATAATAGTAGATCTATTGACACAATTTTTCGTCAGATTGATCAGTGCATATTAAGAACTGAACACATCGGATTTCAGTCCAATCCATTGAAAAATGTGGCTAATTCATCAAAATACCGAATATCGGGAAGTACCCTCATATGGGGGCTATACGATATCGTGGAGGTATATAGACCATTCTCTTTCAGGGAATAAAGTACCCGAAATTAACTTCATGTGCAAAATTTCAAATAATCCCACTTTGTGGATATAAGGTAATTAGTACCATACAGGCAATGTTTGCCACAAAGAAGTATAAATCTTTTTGTACTCTAATTATTGAATTTTTAGCAATGTTGTTAGAAAATGTGTCTCAAATTGGCAACAAATGTTGGAAGTAACCTTTATATTGGGGCAACACTCTATTGTACTAAATTTGAAAAAAATCCTATTGGGAAATGAAAATTAACCGTTGGAATACCGAATATAGGGAAGTACTATTATATGGGGGCTCTAGAAAAACGTGTGGAGCTAGCTCGAAACTTAATTGTTGTGTTTTATGATGACATAATTTATTGACGACCAAACGTAAATTCTTACTCAAGCAACGAAACAAGTAAAAAAGCAGTAAGTTCGGCCAGGCCGAACTTTGAATACCCTCCACCATTTAGAACGAATTTGAAAATTTTCAAAAAAGATAACATTCGCCACAAATTCTGTTAACATTTTAAAAATACCGAATATAGCCGTTATATATACTAGGCCTGTACGACGTGCACCTACATAGTCATTGTTTGTCACATATTCAAATTCGTAACTTGAAATAAACTGTGCATAATGTAGCCAAAATCATTAAAATACCGTACGTAGGGAGGTACCGTTGTATAGGAGTTATACGAAGACCTGGACCTGCATAGACAATTTTCTGTCACAGGCTGCAGCTTCCATTACGAACTTCAATTACAACATCTCAAACAATTTCGGTGAGTATTGTACATAAAATCTTCAAAATACCGAATAAAAGGAGGTACTGATATATGGGGCCTATACGAAGACGTGGACCTACATGACCCATTTATTTGCCTACTGGCAAAAAATAAACATGTGTGCATTTTAGCCTTCTATCTCAATTCGTTCGAAAGATAGCGTGATTACAACAGACAGACAGACAGACGGACAGACATGGCTAAATCGTCTTGGAATTTTACGCTGATCAAGAATATATATACTTTGTTGGGTCTAAGATCATTATTTCGATGAGTTACAAACGGAATGACAAAATGAATATACCCTCCATAGTATGGTGGAGGGTATAAAAAAGGAACGGAGTAAAAGTGTTAAAATTACATTGAAATCCATAAAAATCAACATATCAACCAGTCAGAAGCTGGTAATCAAACTATAAATTTTTACATCGCCAAAGTTGTCTAGCAAAAAATTGTAAAAGCTAATACAATTTTATGCTCCCTTAAATTGGTTTGAAATTTTTTCTCAAGTATAGGAACAGTTTTGCTTGTAAATTCTTACACGTAAGGGAAAACAACTATTATAGTATAGAGTGAATTATTTTTTTTAAGGTTTATCATAAGCCGGTAAGTCACATGTCAGTTAACATATGCATTCGCTACCACGAATTAACTAAGAGTTGTCAAACTTAATTTATGTGAATGTTTTAGAAAATACTACACATTTTTTTCGTAGTACATTTTGTCTAAAGTATTTATATCTGCAATAGGTCTAAGGAAGATTATTTACGCTTTTGCAATACAGATAAAATGATATTGACGCAAAACCTTAAATATTTTTTTCAGATCCCGAACTGGATCCCAACCGACCATCAAGAAAATTCTCTTCTCCAAAGCAATTGGAAGATTCCAATGAAGAAGCTGATTCCCTCAATGAAAAGAAACGATTGCGACAAGAACGTTTAATGACTGTTGTGGAAGATACTGTTGATGGCGTTGCGTTGGAAAAAAATATGAATGGAGTTCGCAGTAAACGTGAAATCAAGTAAGGTTTCTGTAGTGTAAACATAATAAAAGAGGAACATATAATTTATGGATTCCATTGTATTAATTTATTGGCAAAATTATATTATCGAATAAACAAATAAAAGGCATTTAAGTTCGGCCTGGCCGAAATTTTTATATCCTCCATTTGAAGTATCTCATGTACAAAATATGTCTGTAAATGCCGAAATTCTAGTAGTCCAAGGGCATTTTTTTACCTCCATTTGAAGTATCTCATGTATAAATATGTCTATAAATGCCGAAATTCTAGTATTCCAGGGGTGTGTTATTAATTATGAACATCTATCCAAATTTTGAACAATTTTGTAAAAAAGTTAGCTACAATCATCAAAATGCCAAATATCGCAAGGATAAGGGCTATAGAAAAATGTTGGCTTACACAGAAATTGTTCTATATAAGCACAAGAACCCATTACGGCTAAAATCGTCAAAATACCAAAATATCGGAAAGTACCTTTATATGGAGTCTATAGGGAATATTCCATTTTAAAATGTAGCTAAAACCGTTAAAATACCTAATATCGGAAGATACAATTTGAGGCTATACGAAAACGTGGACTTGTATAGTTAATATTTGAAAATTTTCAAGTTCCTTCCAAATAGTGGCAATTTTTAGATTGACTACTTTGTTAACATTTTTCACTAAAAGACCAATTCATATATTCACTTCAAATTGCAGTAAAAATAAACGATTAAAGGTCTATATTAAAAACATGTCCAATTGGTGACCAATATTAATATAATTTTGCAAGGACATCAGGTACCTCTTGAGAATACCATATGTCAAATTACAGTCCATTTTAGTAGAAAATTGAAATCTTGCAATTTCTTTAAATCGGAGGGTACCGTGATATGGGGACCATGCCTAAAGTTGGTCCAATTATTTCCCGAAAAAAGTAGATCGATTAGTTCTAGAGAAACATTTTTGTCACAACTCCCAAAACAACGTTTCCAAATCATACGAGTTATCGCCAGTATCAGTCGCATTATACTCGCCAGTATGCATAGAAGAAATCGAAGAGTACGACTAAACACCCTCCACCTTGGAAAGTGGAGAGTATATTAACTTTGTCATTCCGTTTGTAACATCCGTTTGACGTAGAGCTTAAAAATTTGTTTTTTACATTCTTGCAGGTTTGGAAAAAAGCAATTATTTCTTCAGAAGTGGGGGGGGGGATAATTAAAGAAAGTGTTATAAAACGTTAAACAATAAATTACACATGACAGTAATTGGCCATGGCCTATATGTTATAGTTAAATATGAAGTGGCAACACAGCTTTTAAGCAGCCATTACAATTGTAAACAATACTCGGATTTTGCAAGAAACTTCAACTCAATTTTTAAACGATTTTAACACAAAGAAGATGATTTCTGGGACAAACTTTCGAACTAGGTTCCAAAGCGCAAAACCGGATATTATTATAGTCAGACTCAGACTTGGGATGTGGACGAGTGATAAGTAATGAAACACGAACATTAAAAAATGTATTTAAAGGATATGAAAAATATAAGATAGGGAATTGATTGATTGAATGATTAAATTATAAATAGGCGTGTTTAACTATTTTAGTTAAATTGTTTTATTGTTTAAATGAGGGAATTTACAGCCTGTTTTTGTAAAAAAAAGTTACTTTCACTCGAATCGTTCGTTTTAACATGGGTTTAAAAAAAAATTAAAAACTTTCGTCATTTTCCGAAAAGCTCAGATATGTGAGAGTTCCCATAACCATTATTTTGTTAATTTAATTTCATTAACACTTGTGCTAATTGTGGCAACCCCAATAAGTTCAAATTTTATCACAAATTTGTAAAATCAAATTGAAAAATATAGAGAAAACATTTCAAGAATATGGTCCTACAAGATCCGCTAACAAAAAGTTGATGTGTAAAAATAGTTCATGTATAAGTTGCCCGTCATACACATACAATTTTGGCGAGATTCTTTAACAAGCAGCCAATTTCTGTTCCAACGATGGGTCTTCTCCTATCGTTTTTTTTTTTTAACATTTTGTTTTGCATTTTTTTTCGCGATTTAAAGTCCAGTACATACCAACTTCCTCACCGAAATGGTTTCAATGGTGTGTAGGTCTCTGGTCTCTGACCAGAGGTTTTCGATTGGATTAATATACGGTGACTGTGGTGGTCATTGCATTACGGCAACCTATTTTTCCTTTAACCAATCCTTTACCACCTTCGAGGTGTGTTTGAGATCGTTATCGTGCTGAAATATCCACCGTAATGGCATTTCCCATTCAGCATATGGTAACATAACGTTTTCCAGTATGTCTTTATAGACCCATCTATCCATAGTACCCTGTATTCGATACAGCGGACCTAATCCGTTGACAGAAAAACATCCCCAAACCATGACATGGCCACCTCCATGTTTGACTGTCTTTAGGCAAACTCCTGTTGAATTCGTTTTCCTTTGGGTCTTCTAATGTGAGTTATGCCATCGCTAGTGGTGATATTGAATTTTGACTCATCGCTGAAAAGCACTTTTTTCCACTGGCCCACTGTCCAGTTAACATGTTCTTGGGCAAACTGAAGCCGTTTCGATTTGTTTCGGTTAGATATAAGGTTTTTTTTTTTTTTTCGCCGGGCGATAAGCTAACAAATCAGCTTCAACAAGACGTCGACATCGTTCTTGCGCTAATTTGTAGTTTCAATTCTTTTGCAAATATCGGAGCCGATTTGAAAGGACATTTTTTAACCTCTCTTACAATTAACGAGTTTGTCCTTGGATCAGTTTTTCGCTGTCTTCCACCATTGCTTATAACTTCCACCGATTCAGTTTTTCTAAAACGTGATAAAATTCTTGAAATGGATGACTTATGCGCTTTGTATGTAATGGAGAGCTCTTTTTGAGAAATTCCACAATTAAAATCGTCAATAATTAGCTTTCGTAAAGCTATACCGAATTTATTTGGTGGCATTATTACCGATATTGCGGAACACAAGCTGAACCGGTCTTTTTTCTGAAATATTTTTGCAACTAAAAAATCATGTGGTTTTCTATAAAAAAATCAGCGAATGAGATCAAAAAGAAACAAAACATAATGGTTTTCACAGTTTAACAAGAAAATGTTTTAAGTTGCAATTGTTTTGTCTTGTCCAAATAATGACTTTCCTCATAAAAATTTTAAAAATATTGTAAATTACGCAGACGTAAATTTAATTTTTGTTTAAAATGCTCCCTTAGATCTACAATATTACAAAAATGCGAATAAAATTTGAATAACATTACCCCACAGGTTTTATTAAGACAATTTATGAAATGTGTATACTAGTTGCAAATGTTTTGTCCGCTACTGTATATATATATATATATATATATATATATATATATATATATATATATATAGTTGGTTCCAGTGCTTTCATCTCACCCTGTACATACCTATATATATATATATATATATATATATATATATATATATATATATATATATATATAGAAATTTTGATTCACTTTTATATTAACGTAAAGCATTTTTAATGGCAGGCACAACAACAGTGAGGAGGAGTTGCATCGGTTGGCCGAGTTGGAAAAACAAGCTGAAGAGGCAGTGAAATCAGCTCTGTTGAAGGAGGAAATGTAATTGCTACACCCCAGAGATCTTAAACTCTTTCTAATAATATTATTTCGATTGCAGGAACGGCGACGCTGAATTGAAACGCAAGACAAAGTTAGCTAAAAAGGAAGAGGCAAGATTAGCAGAAGAAGCTAAGCTTGCAGAAGAAGCAAGACTAGCAGAAGAAGCCAGACTAGCAGAAGAAGCCAGACTAGCAAAAGAAGCTAAACTAGCAGAAGAAGCTAAACTAGCAGAAGAGGCTAGACTAGCAGAAGAAGCTAGACTAGCAGAGGAAGCCAGACTAGCAGATGAAGCTAGACTGGCAGAAGAAGCTAGACTAACAGAAGAAGCCAGACTAGCAGAAGAAGCCAGACTAGCAGAAGAAGCTAAGCAAGCAGAAGAAGCTAGACTGGCAGAAGAAGCTAGACTGGCAGAAGAAGCTAGACTGGCAGAAGAAGCCAGACTAGCAGAAGAAGCTAAGCAAGCAGAAGAAGCTAGACTAACAGAAGAAGCAAGACTAGCAGAAGAAGCAAGACTGGCAAAAGAAGCTAGACTAGCAGAGGAAGCTAAACTAGCAGAAGAAGCCAGATTGGCAGAAGAAGCTAAACTAGCAGAAGAAGCTAAACTAGCAGAAGAAGCTAAACTAGCAGAAGAAGCTGGACAGACAGAAGAAGTAAAACAAGAAGAAGTAGCCGAAGTGACAGAAGAAGCAAACTTGGGAGAAGAAAAAACGCGTGACGAAACTAAATTGCATGAAGATGCAGTAGAAGCCGAACCACAGAATTCACCAGCCACAGAATCAATTCTGAACGAAACTGCAGAAAATGAAAAAAATGAAGCACCAACTTTAGTCTTAAACATTAACAACGACAATGAGGGCGCTAACGAAACTGCCACTGAAGAGGAATCTGAGGAAGAATAAAAATGATGACTTTTTTATACTCAACATTAAAGACATTGTATGGACCCTTTATAGATACTGAAATTTCTAAACGCATATCAAATATTTTGTGATTAAAGATTATATATATTTTTATGGTTCAAATAAAAGTCTGAAGACCGTCACAATATTTACTACAATTGTTCATGCCATATATCGGTATTTGGGTGAAGTTAGCCGCATTCTATAAAAGAATTTTAAGTTGTTATTTGGAGTTCGCAATAGATACCAATTGGTCTGCGTTAAATTGTTTCATCAGATCCACGTTTTGGTAGAGCTCACATACAACAACTGCTTTACATCCTAAATGTAAGAAAAGAGAGAGAAAGACAAAAAAGAGAAAATAAAGAAAGAAAAATTATTTTTGGCCTTCGTTCGTTTTAAGCCACTTTAGTTTTCTGACTAACTGAGACTGGTTCAGTATCGGAGAAGGAAAATAAATCGTTTTCATATCAGTTTTCTTCGCACCTTTTCTCCTCACTTAAAAGTCATGGCCTGTGACCAGTTCTAAAATAGTGTTGCAGATAAAACAGCATAAAAAACAATGCCAAACAAAACAATTAAAATGACAAAAAATAATGCTAAATATAAATGGGGGTCTTAAAAGTTTGATTGGGCCAAAAATAATGTTACACTTGGAAATTTTGGCTTCCCACCTAGGAAAGTATATTTTGATCTTCCAATCTCGCTGAGTTGAGCCGATCTAACTATGTTAATTTGCAATCACGCTACAGGTCACAATTATAGATCAATCGTCGCGGAATTTAGCATGGGGCTAGAGCTTAGGACTGGGCAGAAGCTTTCCAATTTGGATGGTCATCGGATAATATAGAGCGGGTATTCCGCGAATATTCTTAATCCCGGTGAAATAACAAATATACGAAAAGGTCAATTCTGACCGTTACGTAGATCGGATATATATTGCGACATATATTCGCTAGAATGCTTACATCTCAAATATAGGTTTGACAAATCTTGTCAATTTAAAATACCCTCTTGACAGGAAAGAAAAAAATATTTTCAAAAACGCATGAAAAGATCCCAATAAAATATGTCTGTTGAAATCACGATACAGCCCACATTGTTTGACGTAGAACGTGAAAATCAGAACAGTCAGAACAATTTGTATTATATCTAGGATGGTTGGTATTGAAAATGACATATATCGGTCCACGTTTTGGTGTAGTCCCCATACGGTACCTCCTTATATTCGGTATTTTGATGATTTTTGCACATTTTTTTCACGGATTTGTCTGAAAATTAGTATTTGTAGGTCATAATTGGTATTTGTAGCCTCCATATAACGGTACCACCCGATATCCGGTATTTTGATGATTTTAGTCACATTTTTTCACTGAAATGTCTGAAAATTGGTATTTCTATGTAATAAAGGGTTCTAGTGACGGTGACGAAACATTGTATGTATAGGTACACGTTTTGGTATAACTCCCATATAAAGGTACCGCCCGATATTCGGTATTTTGATGATTGTGTTTCCTTCACACGGTCAATACCTTGATTAAGAGTAGGATTCCAAACGATATACTAAGTTTTGGGCTAGAAGACGTAATCATATCGGACAATGTTGACCAGAGTACTCTACAGGGGTGAATTTTATCATCCCTGCTGCAGATTTTTACGATCAATAGTCTACTTAAAATTTAAAAAAGAGTAATTTCAGCAAATCTGTTATGCAGATGACGTCTGAAAGAAAAGAAACCCAATTTACTATACAGAAGGGCAGACACAGTCCTAATTTTGTTTATAACTGGAATAGACCAAAATGCCTAAATCTTAACCTGTAAGTAAAAAAACTGAAATATGTCTATAATGCAAGCCACACACGATACAACCGTTGGTACAACCTGGGGTTGTATGTTGTATGCTTCGGACACAAACGATACAACTTTCTATACAACCTCTTTGTACAACTTCACTTTTCTAAGAGTTCATTTAAGTTAAGATGACACCGGAAATAATTTCGTGCTCTATAATTTACTTAATATCCTTTATTTATTATTAATTTTTGAAATTCCATTTTTTACATATTTTTAATTTTTTTATATTTTCATTGAAATCACACATTTGATTGAATTTCGCGCTGTTTTGATGTGCGAAACAATGGTGTTGCCTCTTTGAAAATAAACTCAAAATGAAATTGTATGCGACATGCCCACAAACATTACAATCGGTTGGTACAACATTCCAAATATCAAAAATTTTTGATTTTTTGTACAACCGAGACACAACTTCGTGCAACCAGGCCACAAACGATACAATCTTGAATACAACCTCTCCAAGTTGTAAACCAGTTGCTTCGCGTGTGGCTTGCATAATTGCAAAACAAAATTGGGTAACTTTGTTGAACCAATTTTCCTGAGTAAGACAATCAAATTGGGGTGTAGATTGGAAACTTGAACGGAAAGAGCAAACAAAGCCTAGAAAAGAGTGAGGTAAGCCACAATTCTTTAAATTCATCCCCAGGAATTCTGATGAGTTCAGGATGGAGCTGTAGCCGTAACGCTTGCTGAAACCTGTTGCTATACCGATGGCTCGAAGCTAGGGATGAGAAAAGGCTGGGTCTCTTCACGGAAGCACCAAAAACCGTGATCTTTATACGTCTGCCGGACAAAAATAAGGTGTTTGCGGCGAGCAATAACAGAATCTATGAAATGGTTTAGCGTTTAATTAGGTCTATTGTAAGCATCCAACGGATTGTAAAGCTAACTAAAAATATTATCAAAGAATATCTACACATTCCTTTGGAACAATTAGAGATTTGCAGAAACACCAAAACCATGTGGAAAATCTTAATGGGAAAGCAAATAAATCAGACATTAGTCCACAGCCAGGCATTTTGAGAGGTAACATTAGTCTACAAGCACATCTTCACAAAAAAGGACGTGCAGAAAATAGATATTGCAGGGTGTATGGAGAACACATTGAAACGTTGGAACACTTTATCATTATCCAGCTTTTGCTAACTTAAGATCCCAGTATTTGAGAAATTGTACTATATAGGATCTTAATCAATAAGGGTAAATTTTGTACATATGTTCAAGAACATTGTCATATGTACATAATTCCTAAACTAAACACCTCAATAGCAAACAGTTTACTTTTTGTCCCAAGGACTTGCGGCGAATATTTTGCCCCTTTTCTAAACTAACTTAAACTAATTAATTTCAACTTCATTGATTTTTGATTCTCCACATTCTCTTGCTGTAACTTCCATGTTGTAGATTGCCCCGATTTGATAATATTAAACCAATAGTAAGAAAATCGTATTCTTTATCGTTTTTTTTTTTTTTTTGGTCTTCTGCTATTTAACAAGAATGTTGTAAGAATGCTACTAAAATAACCTATTAATTTGTTGATGGTTAAACAAGTAAAAAAACATCAAGTTCGGCCGGGGCGAACTTTTAAAGCCCTCCATCTTGGGGTAACAAAAGAACCCATTGTGACCCACAAATACAAATTTTTAGAGATATTCGAATATCGGCAGGTACCGATATGTGGGGCTATACAAAAACGTGAACCTATACATACAATGTTTTGACAACGGAGCTAGAACCCATTAGGACACACAAATACCAATTTTAAGACAAATCAGCAAAGAATCATAAAAATACCGAATATCTGGAAGTACCGTTATATGGGAGCTATACCAAAACGTGAGCCTATACATATAATGTTTCGCCGCCGTAGCGAGAGCCCATTATAGGCCCGTGAAAAAATGTGACAAAAACCATGAAACTACCGAACATCGGGAGGTACTATTGTATGGGGGCTATACCAAATCGTGGACTTATACATGCAATGTTCCGCCACCGGAGCTAGAACCCATTATTACCAACAAATACCTATTTTTAGACAAATTCGTGAAAAAATGTTGCAAAAATCATCAAAATACTAAAAATCAGAAGGTACCGTTATATGGGGACTTTACCAAAACGTGGACCAATATACCTCATCCAAGACACAATACAAATTGTTCTGCTAAATTTTGACGCTCTACGTAAAATAATGTGGGCTGTATCGTGATTTTAACAGACAGACAGACGGACATCGTTATGAATATATATACTTTACGACAAATATTTAGGGATGTTTCCAACGGACTGACAAAGTTAAAATACCCTCCTTTTCAAGGTGGAGGGTATACAAATGGCGTTTAACAGATTATTTTATATCTCATATTGTACAGATGAAATGCGTATATTGTATCCTACTTTCTAAGTTAAATAAACTTGATTCCATTCTAAAACTAGGAACTCAGCGAAATTTATTAGCGAGATGAGGTGGTGTTTTTCCAATAATAAAGGTACGTCTATGAACAAAACCATTGTAACTTTAAATTTACCAATAACAAATTCAACAACTGTTTTTTTTATTCCCTCCACATTGAAAATGAGGGTATATTTATATTGAGATTCCGTTTGTAACATTCCTAAATATTGTAACATTATAAAATTATAAGTGGATAAGTCGTCTGTGTGTCTGCTGAAATCACGATACAACCCACATTATTTGACGAAGAGCTTCAAAATTTGCCACAACAATTTATATTATATCTAGGATGGTTGGTATTGAAAATGAAATATCGGTCCACGTTTTGGTATAGCCGCCATACAAAGATATTTGCCGATCTTCGGTATTTTCATGATTTTCCCAATATTTTTTCACGGATTTATCTAAAAAATTGTATTTGTAGTTTGTAATGTGTTATAGCTCCAGTGGCGGAACATTGTTAATATATGTGTGCACTCATTCGAATAGCCTCCATAAAAGAGTACCTTACGATAATTGGTGATAATGTTGATAACCTTTGTCGCATTTATCCACGAAATTGTTTCAAATTTGGTATTTAAGGAGATTTGGTAGATAACAATCCTTGAAGTGTAAAATTGTCTATATACCCAGTCAGCATTTTTTAAAATTTTTAATCATGTTGCGCGGTTAAAAAGCTGGAATATGAGGGCATTTTCTGATCATAAAGACACATTTGTCGGGAGAAAAACGTGACCTCCCGCGACTCTTCTAAATAAATCACATATAAGTCTTCCTCTAGATTAGTTAAAAGTCTTTTTCGACCAATTTCTGATTGTTCTACAACTCTTTTTCGAATCG